ATCCACAAGGCAGCGACTTGGACTTCACCAGACGCCAGTACTTGCTAAAAATCAGATCGACTTCATACCAATGTGAAGAAAGTGGAGACGCAGCCCACTTGACATAAGATAAAGAAGGGGAGCAGATGTAGGTTTACGCCGCTCACTATTTGGTGCATGGAGCTTCAAAATCAAGTTGAAAGCCTCCAAGGAAGCTGCTGATGGGCCATAGTTCAAGTTCGGCACCCAGAACAGAAACTGAACTGAAGCGCGGAACTACATCCTCACGTCAGTCATCGAGACAAAATGGGGGACACTGAGCAACGTCTGTGAAGGAATCTGCGTGAAAGAACACTGGAACTCTTTGAAGTGCATGTGGAAAGGACCCTACATAACCGTGTTAGGGAGAAAAAAGAAGCAAGACAGGGACTGGATCTCCACGGATACGTGGAGGCAGATAGAAGAGAGAGAGGGAGATGGCGAAGCCGAAGATGAACCAGTGCAAGGATGACAATAAGAAGAGGAACTGAGTAAAAGGTATGAAACTCTGACCAAAGGCGTGAATAAGAGTAAGCGCAAAGGCAAAATACACTTCCATGACACATTGACGAGTGAAGCTAAACAGAATGCTGATAGAAGAGACCTGACAACGCCGTATCAAATAATCAGGTTACTACCTCAGATGGAAGAGATCAACGCAGATGAAACCAATGAAAAATAGTGAAGGAAACCTAGTTCCATTAATATAAGTGAAAAACTTGGGCACTGTGGTAGAATGTAGTTCCATATTAGATTTGTTTATTTGATATTAAGCGCACGGTGATACAGTATTATTTAATTGATTACCTTTCGAGCATAAATTATTGCTCATAATCATATCATATCAACGAACCCACCGTGGCTGGTAAAGAACCAACCAACCAAGAACCTATCGCCAAATAAATATGCGGAAGAAAGTGAAGATGGATTAGGCATACACTGAGAAGTCTGTTCGGAGATATCACGCTCCAGACCAGGCCGTCGAGTGGAGGCCGAATGGGAAACGAAGAATTGAGCGTCCGAGGGTTACATGGAGGAGATGGTTTGATGAAGAAATGAAGGCTTCTGGGAAACACTTCATGTCCTATACTCTTTTACTACCCTTGGTCTCAGCTTATTGTTGCATAACACTCAGTTCTTAAAATAATAAAGGGCTAACCTACGGTGAGGATCATGGTCTTCAACTAACTGTGAACTATTGATTGATCTCAAAGTTCGTCGTTAGTCACTAACAGTCTGGTTATTCTGTCCCTGGAAATTGAAACAATTAATGGCAACAACTAACAAATAATTGCTGATCCTCCTGGGGAAACCACTTGTTTCGGCGGAGTACTTGTTGGAGGGTTGGCAGGCATATCACACCACTAACTAATGAAAGCATTATGACATCCTCGTACGCAAGACTGGGATGCCAAACATTAGTAGAAGTAGCGCTGACCAGCTAAATAACTTTTGTGAACGAATGAAGTTCAATCAAATCCGTCCCAGGACTGATATTGGAAGTATGAAGAACGACTGGTGGCGCTTGATCCATATTTTATGGGTCACATAAAACTTAGAAAGGGCTTGGTAGTGACTTACAGTATTTTAGACACACCGGGACTCCCACTCCGTCACTTGTGAAATCTCAGTTATAGCACCAATCATGGACAGCACAAAAGAACTAAGCACAGAACGTAGCAGCCTAGATATCATGTAAAACTTCTACTCCTTAAGAGTGGCTACATCCTGGGACACTCTTCCTGCAGAAGCGTTTCGGCTTACTTTACCTGAATCCTTGAAATACCGACTTCAAACCTACCTAAGATGTGCGTGGGAGCTCACTCAAATCAAAACAGATTTTCATGTTTTAGTAGCCATTTTCCTCTCGCTTTATTTGTGAGTAGGTGAGCAACCAAGGGAACTAGCGATTGACTGATTCTAGAAGCATAAGTCAGTTAATCAAAAGTTTTTTTCCTTCAAGAATCATTTGAACTCAAGTTGTCTTTATCCTGTGAATCGTTTTGAAAAGTGCTTGTAATATAAATACTTTTGAAACAACTGGATATGGAGTTCATCTTATTTTGATGGTTAGTTACTTGACCGAGACCGAGTACATTATTATTTGTTTATGCTTTTCAATACGAGTGACGTGTTTCGCTCGTCTCTCAGCTTTTGGATTTTTCCACAATGAAAAACTCCCACTTGCAATACTCAATCTAAAAACATCGAACGTTTGCAGCACTTCTGTCCGTCCACGCACCTCACCCCTGCGCATTCGTCAGCTCACTCCTCAACAGTTGAAAATTGGCATTATTATTCCTTTGAACCAACCGGTCTACCTCCTGTCAGTGGTTCTTGGGCGTTTCAACTGCCAAACTGCCTTAGCTCTCGGTTCTCCTCGGAGGTCATTCCCCAGGAAATATCTTTCCTGGTTATACATACGCATCTGGAGCTTACGGTTAAACTCGTTGGTCAAGAGCAGAGGATCAAGTGACAAGTGTCTGAAGGTGAGCCAACATAAATTATCTTCCCTTTTCTATTCTGTCCTTTTGCTGCATTCAGTCTTCAACCCTCTTATTGTTGTTAACTACTTGTTTTCCCAAGAAGTTTATATCATAGCGACATGTCTGCCCAAAACGCTAGGTCTGAAGCTTTGACACGGATAACGCGGTCGTGCACAACAACGGCCAGTAACACCCTAAACAACACACTAGTCTGTACTAGAAGACAAACAGAGGTAGGGCAGAACACCGAACTTCTGAAGAAGTGGCCAACCCATGTTTCTAGAATTCCAGTCGCCATCAGACAGGTGACACAGAGAAGCACTAGCCCGTCACAAACTAGTCCTATCTTGAGCAAGGATCATACCATGCCTGAAATAGAAGACGACGTAAAAGGCTTCAGAACAAGGCAGCCACAAGCAGTTCGCCACAATCCGTAGCACCTTATTCATGGAAGGAAGGCTGTATTACGACACCCGATGGCTGCAGTGTTTGCACCAAAGTTGTTTCGGTAGTCGATGAGGCATTTGCATGCAACCTGTGTCAACGATGGGCGCATTGCCACTGCGATACCAAAGTCCCCCGACAATACTATAAGCTGATGAAGAGACAACCATGCAAGTGGTTCTGGTACATCTGTCCAGAGTGCAGGAAAATGCCCGCACTCCGCACAGAAAGCCTGAAGGAGATGCTCTCCGCCACGCAAAAGCTACCAGCATCCTCGAATAAAGTAGGGTTAACACCAAAGGATAACACAGAGAGACCTGGAAACAGACCTAGAGCTCCAGCTGTGGGCACGCCACCTCGCGTGGGGACCATATTAGGTCAAGTCTCCATACCCCTACCCGGCCCCAGGGGACGTCAAGCGCATGGCCAAAGACATCGACCGCCGAAGCCTCTACGAAACCCATTCCGAACACCCCACACACCGTGACTGAGAAACAACCAGTGGAATTACTCAAACCCATTGGGAAGTCGGGCGTGCCACCCACAACGAACCCAGGTCACAGGAGGACCAACTCGATCATTTTGTTCAACGTCGATGTATCGACAGACTCATTGTTGGTCGAGAGGGAACAATTTGACAGCCGAATGTGGACCGACTACTGTCAGATGCTGGGACTCCCTCCCCTCCCTGCAACTTTATGTCGCCTTTCTCGAGGAAGCCATGCACCCCGAGATAAGCCACCCCCTTTACGTGTGTCCCTAAATACCGCCAAAGAGGCTGAAGACACACTCCTCCTCTCGCGACAACCGGACGTTGTTAATGCCTGTAAAATTCGGGCCAGGCCTGACAAGCCATGGTCATAAGAGAGGAGGAGAGAAAGTCAGCGGTTGGAAATCCCAACAGAAACAACACTATAGTTGTACATGGGATTCCAGAATTGCCAAGTGACAGCTCGGTCAAAGATCGGTACTTTCACGACGTCCAACAATGGCAATGGCTCTCAACCAAAGTTGGTCTCAACAGTATACCGGCCAACAGCGTCAGTAGACTGCCAAGGCCAGCGCACCTGAAGACCATACCCAATCCCAGACTACTTGCCGTCCAGTTCGACTCATATGCCTCCCTCACAGACGTTCTGCACGCATGGTATAATGCGAAAGATCGCATGGGTGGCTCAATACGTATATGTGAAAGTAAGCCTAGACCCACAAGGCAAGAGGAGAGACGGCAACCACCAAGACCTCTGGAGTCAGTGGTCGTCACACAGGCGCTGACCAGTGAGTTAGATACATCAAGTAAAGAAGCCACCACTGCTACAGCCCCCACCCAAGTTAAGAACAAAACACAAAAAAACGGAACAATGCCAGTCCTATGAGGACTGGCGAGGCTAAATTCAACCACGTAAGCGCTCATCCCGCGAAAATACACATCCAGACCTCCCCTCTCATCAGGCACACTCTAATATGTATGTACAGCAACGTTAGGGGGCTAATAGGGAAGGTAGCAAAATGAGGACGCTGCGTGAACATCAGCACTACGACATCATATTCATCACCGAATCCTGGCTCTCATCGGACATCTCCGACGAAGAGATGCGTGTTGCTGGCATGGAACTCTTCCGCAGGGACAGGGAACATAGAGCAGGAGGGGGAGTGGCTATCTACGCAAACTCCTGTTTAAAGGCAAGGATGGTTAGCGATACGGCCTTAACCCAGCTCCCAGAGTCTCTATGGTGCTACTTCACTCTCTTCTTTATTCTCTCTTCATTCCTTTACCACTACCTTACTATTCTCTTCAGGTACCTACACAGACAGGAGTCATGGCAGTTCTCTAAACTTCCCAGCAACCCGTAGCTCCCTAATCACTCTACAAATTACAACCTACTAACCCACAAAACATCCACCTCACCGAAGCTAAAAGCAAGAAAGCAGAGGGGATTTCCTCGTCCACTGCAGGAGTAAACCGAACAACTGGAACCAAGCCCTAAGAACTAGACGCGAGAGATCAAAAACTACTAGTTTTCTACGCTCGCACTATCAATATTGGATATTGGACATTGGGCGCGCGAGGCTCGACAGACGGCATTCTCTCAATGCTAACTACTTCATGTTGGTTCTTGTAAGTTGACTACTTACCTTTCTTGGCCTATTTTCGATATTGATCTTGTCCTAACTCTATTTTGTTTCTTCTTCACTTAGCAAATTCCATTTCAGCTCGATTTAAGAGCAGGGCAATGTGCCATGTCTTGCAGCAACCCCCAGTTAGATTGTGCTTCCGATGCTATAACGGTTATTGTTCACAGTCTAATGTGTCATCGTCAAAGTGGAGAATCAGAAGAGTTTGCAAGGCGGGCAATTGAGAGCCTAGTAAAGAAGCTAAAGGAGAAACAAGATGATTTGGAATCTCTTATAACAGCTATAACGACAAGTGGCAACCAACCGAGTAAATGTGTTACAATACAAAGAACGTTAGATGGGCGTATGCAGGTACTTTTAGTCTACTTTTTCTTATCATGGCACTTTAGATAGCCGGTCGTAAGTGTCTCCCTCACGTCATATATTCACGAATTTGGCGTTGGCCTGATTTGCATCGAAATGAACTAAGACATTCCAAGGACTGTTGTTTTGGATTTGAGCTGAAACAAGATTATGTCTGCATCAATCCGTACCACTATGAAAGAGTTGTCTCTCCTGTTGATTTGGCTGCTCTTAGCTTGAGCCCTGTCGTTGAAAAGGATGGTATGTTTTCATATTTTGTTGCCTAGTTTAGCACTGCTCAGTTTCAAACGTATTGATGTGTATTGGACCCGGGCTATGATCCTTTTCCAGGTTATCTTCTAATCCCCTGGGGTTCTCGAAAGATTGTCTACCTCAAATTAAACCATTCTGCTTCATGTACAAATCTGTGGATCTTGTAATTAACAGATTCTTACATTGACTCACACTATGTAGATGAAGTCAAACAGATATTTGAAGCAAAAGTTAGGGTGTTAGCAATAGAATTCTTGTGCTTGCTAACCCGCTTCTTGTGATTAATGTATGAAAAGAAGCACACAAACAGGTACTGTAGTGATCTAGTTAAGTAATAGCTACTTAGTTACGTGTACGTAGAATACAAGTGCTATCTTTAGTTAAAATACACTATCGTTAGTACTGTTTTAAACAATCCATTATCTCTGGTGTTTTTCAGATATGTGCAGTGACGCGGGAAGTGAGTCGAACTGTCCAGAGTCTCTAGTTTCTGGATTCAAAGGAACTCAAATTGCTGATATGGAATCATGCTTGCCGGGAGTCACCACCGATGAAGAAAATAATCATATCAACTCACCAGCATTGGTATCTGCTCATCCTCCTCTTACTGTCCTTGATCTTGATGACCAGCTCACTCATACAGGTATTTAGTTTATTAGTTTTCTTCCTGTATTACGTGTAATAAAAGCCTGTGTTGTAGAAGCAAAGAGGAGTAACTAGATAAGATTAATTATATTAGTTAAACGTTTTTTACTTTGTGAAAGGGATTAGTGTACTATAAGTAAATTTTCAATAAGTAGATACTAAAAACGGACTATATATATATATATATATATATATATATATATATATATATATATATATATATATATCGACCGTGAGGTGTTGTGGCTGTGACTATGAAGAGAGAAACCGAGCAAGTATATAACGCTAACCGAAGTTCTCTGCTCAAACTCAGCCGCGTATGGAGAGTTGTCATGTTGATTGACGACAACTAGTGTCCAGGAGGAATGCCCAGTCACCGTTCCTATTCAACTTCCTTACAAACATACTAATGGACATAACCTTTGATACGTCTGATTTCTCAGGTGTTTGTCTACTCGCTGGAGGTCAACTAGTTGGCTTGGAGTATGCAGACGATATTTTCCTGTTAGATGAAGACGTTGACCAAATGCAGGGTCTTCTGGAAGTGTTGAGCAGATACCGGAATATGTTTAGCATGGGTTTGACTGACACCTGTCAAATGTAGGATGATGCTTCAATACTGGTGTTCAGCCACTCCAATGTTCAGGATAGAGTGAAGTGGTAGAATCCATCTATCACTTCACTTATTTGAGATGTTATATATGCCGGAGCAAGTTGGTTGCTGACGGGATTATTGTTATTAGAGAAAGATGAAACTGCTGTGCAGTCCCTTCTGTCCTGTAATACGGCTGTAAAACATAGACGTTAAAAGTAGAAGACATGAAGCGATCACATGTCGCCGTAGCGTTGCGTTTTGTGAACTCACTACGTGAGCAATGTTGAGATCAGGCGAAGGGTACCAAGCAAGATGGGCAAGTCGATTGATGAGGTTGTGAACCTTCATTGACTGAGGTGTCTTGTAAGTATGTTGAGCATACCATCAACTACGGTGTAGAATGTTAGCTGAAGTGGGACGGTTGGAATAGAGACTAAAGTAACCAGATGAAAACATTTCACCAGTCCGTGAAGTCGATTGTTTCAGCGTGGACTGGCTGGTTGGGATCTTGAAGGCTATATGATCCAATGGTTGGGGAACCTTGGCTGAAAACCGATCACAGTGGTGCGGATGTGTCCCGTCTTTGGTGCCTTTTAAAGCTTGAACATTTTCAACGTTGGTACTCAAATTCCTCTTCCTCGCATACACTTATGTTTACTTTAATATCACTTCTATTCTTCTTTTCATAGTACTGTGAAGTGTTGCATATTAAGGCGACACAGTTCTGCGCGGGATTAGGCATCGATTTAATTTGTCTGAATTATTATGGACTGCTATCCCTTTTGGAGTACATGTTCACACGCTTTAGTGTGCTCTAAGTTCAGCTCGCGTCTTTTCACCCTCCTGACTTCGGCGTGACTGCAAATGGTCTGGCATACAAAAGTAGCCTTAATGCAATGAAAACTTAAGTGTATCTTATGGAATTGATTGTTTGGTCAATCTTTCCCTATCTAATAGTGTACGAAATCAGTGTTGTTATATTACATTGTGTAGCGTATTTGTTGACGCAGTGGTGTCTCCAGTTTGTATTGAAAATAACCAATTTTTACAGTTACATTGTGCTGTATAACTTCGATTCCTAACTTGGTAATTGACTGGTGCAGTGATTGCTGTAGTTGTTATATTCGCTACTTCGTTATTAGTTGAGTTGCATTTTTACCTCTTGGTTCCTGTATATCCTCCTGTGCATATTGCCTTCCTTACCTGCTGTTATAAGTTCAAAGACGAACTAGCAGTTAGATTTTCCAATCGTTTCTGGGGCTTTGGAAACAATTGTGGAAGAGTGTAATTCTTTTGGACTGTATTGAAAGTGATTTCGCTTAAAGCTGCGGTTCATTTGCATTGGCATCTGGTTTTCATGCAGTGTCTTGGGTTCGAAATCCACTACACCTAGGTTTAGGCAGATGGGTAGTATCACTAGCTTTTATACAATAGATGTACCCTATTGTCTGGCGCTCGGACTTGGGTTACAGGTTTCCAGCCGTTGGTGTTTTCATAGCGTTGCTCACGTTTGGAATCACCATGTGAGCAACGTTGGGATCAGGCGGAAGGTACTAGGTAGGATAGGCAGGTAGATCGATGAGGTTGTGAACGTTCATTGACGGAGGTAATTTGGACATGTGCTGCACATGCCGACCTACCGTCTACATCAACGTCAAATGCCAGGGGAAGTTGAATTAATTCGGAAGATGGTTCAGGGAGTCCAGACAAAGACCTAACGCCAATCGATGAAGTCCCTAACTGTTGGTCTGAGTCGTGTAGGAAGAAGTAGGCTATCTGGCTGCGGTCCTTGAACCGATGGAATCAGTAGTTTGGTACTCTTGGTGTGACATGGTTGAAAACCGGTCTCAATGACGCAAATGTATTGACCCTTTGAATTCTTCTAAAGCTTGGATATTTGTACTAGCATTTATCTTCAAATTGTTTATTCTCTCACATAACTTTGTCTACTTTGATATCAGTTTTTTCTATCCACCTGTTCTTTAAATGATACTGTGAAGTATAGGAACTCGAACCGATACACTTGTTTGCTAGGTTCTACATTGATTCTGTCTGTCTAAACCTGGGTTGCGAGCGAAAGTCTTGAATGGCGTGATCGGTACTAACTTCGGATTGTATAAGCGGTGTTGTACGGTATATTATGTGGAATTACGGAATGAAGCAAATCCTGATGTAGCTGGTTTTGGCTCTTGATTTAAACAAACATTTCGGGTGCATTACTTTGAACTTATTAATTCTCAAGAAAAGGCAGAATGTATTCATTATTTTGGTACTTATACTTTTCTTTGAATGGAAAATAAATTGAGTAAAAACAATCCAGTTCTGTTATTGATTGAGCATTACGAATACGAGAATAATGAACTTCTTATACTTTCATTCATCAGACATATCACACCTATTATGTGAGGACTCATGATATCATTTAGCTGAGTAGACGTAGTAAGTGGCCAAGAAACCAAAGATTGGCACCTGTGTTTGATCGTAAAATGGCGAGTGCATCTGCTTTTAAATCAGTGCAAGAATTGCTCACTAGGAGATTAATCCTCTTGAAGTCAGACGATGGGAAGACTTTTTTTAAGCAGGTTTTTTAGATGGATTTGAATAGATAGATCAAATAAATTTAAAGGAAAATGGTGGAAGTGGGATAGAATGATGTACATTACTGATGTACACTTGTAAACATGAAAATTGCAAAATATAGTTAACCGTAAGCTATAACATTATGAAATATTTTTGAGCACAGAGCTTTTTCTAAGGTAATATCCCTGCCGAAACCTCGATTAAAGTAGTGTAATACCTCCTTCAGATTGATGAGAATACAAGCGGTGTTACTCATCAGTTTGTATGCTTTTAATCCAACATCAGGCAAGCGGTAAAGATTTGTTCGTCTCGTCCAATATCAATTATGATATCCGACTGATTTTCTCAGTTCGACTCTTCTGGCGCTTAAGTAAGGTGTCGGTTGGTTTGCAAATCTACAATTTTACGGATTATGTTGGTCAGATGAGTTAAATTATTATAAATTATATTTGCCGAAATGAATATTGGCTAGACATGTCTAAATTAAGGCGTAACCCCTTCTTTGTCAGCAATAGGGACATCACACTTTCTCCTAGTAAAGAAAATGACACTTATTGAAGACCAAATGTACCACCACTTAAAGCTTAACTGATTCGTATTGATAGTCACTTAAATTGGGAATAAACCGTATGATGTGTATCATTGGGAAGGACTTTTTGTGTATGCTTGTGCGATTGAAACTTTGATAAACTGGAAGACAAGCATAGCCTTGTCTAGTTGAAAATGTCCGACGGGTCATTCAAGTATCTAAGACCATAATGAGACTTTGATGTTTTCTTATCGGGTTCAAATTGTGTGGCAGTATGTCGGTTGCCTTAGCCATCTTCGGTACATCTATTATGAATCAACAAAGTGTCCAATTCTTATCTCAGACCGAGGAATTGTTTATTATGTGATTTAAAAACAGGCGAGTTAACATTTATGCGTGGAAGGCTTGACTATCATTTATTTGTCTCGGGACGAACGTTTATATAAAATAATGACAGTCTTGTAATGGGGGTTTATGATTCGTTTGTTCAACGATTCTGTGTAAATCTCAGCCTATATCAGTACTTGTGTTTCATTATTGGAATGTTGATCAGAATCAGTAGATCTGCTTACCGACTACAAATTAAAATTTGTCTATCATCTGTCTTCGATGAAAAGTTCCGAAGGATGTCTTTTGAAGTTTTTTCGTTCATTATTAAGGTCTCTTGATCTCACTGGTTTGTACTCTAAAGATAATTGTTTGCTACAAAGTTTTTCTTTGCACTTGCGCATTGAAATAAACAACCCCAGTAATTCTTTTTAGGCTATTCAAAAAATGATGAATGTAATTCAGCACACAGATTGTCATCCACAACGCAAATTAATTCGTCATCAGTAGTCACACCAAGCATTTCGGCTTTGAGAGTCAACCCGACTCCCCATTTGGATAGAGGACAAAGTACTATGGCTTGGTCTGGTGTAGCCAACCCAAATCATCCGTATAAAAATTTCCAATCTAGCGGAAGCTTGTTCTCTAAAGATAATCCTCTGGAGTCGTTAAGCACAGCTGCGACAGGTAATGCATTCGAATTTTCCAATTCACTACCAATGAGTTCTTCTCTTAAAACTGAAATGATGGATATATTCACATGTACAACTAGTCCACTCACTAGTTTTACACCAGTTCTGGCTAACAACCGTTCGATAAACAGTTATGTTTCATCAGCCTATTCATCTAACACAACTCCTATTTGTTTGTCAGGCAACACTAATGGTGCCGTAAATAATAACTCTAATAAACGCAGTGGTAGTTCCACTGGGGCTTCTGGTGGTTGTAGTGCTGGAGGGTCTAGTTTTACTGGGAATGCACCATGTGGCGGAGCCGGTGGTGCAGCGGGTGGTGGCGGTGGATGGGGAAACCGTCGAGGACCTCCTCCTCCTCCATTCACTCCATCTGGATCTATACTTCAAGTAAGTCCTAATTTTTGTTACTTTCTAAAGATATGATACAGTTTTACTGTTTTTATTTGGTTCTTTGTTCTAAGGAGGTTACTTCGTTTCTATGATCTTACAACCTATCGTGATTATTAGCAATTATACAGGTATATAGATGTGTTCACTCTCTCTTTATAAATTCGCTTTGACTGCAACTTTGTCCTAGTACTAACAGTAAAAACATGCTGCCCAGTACCATTGCTTATCGATTTAAATCGTCACACTTAACGTCAGTAAAAAAGTACAATAAATAGTAAAAGAACTGGTAAACTGAGTCGATATAATGACAGAAGTAATGCAAATCGTGTAATGCTAATGAAGTGTCTGAATAACACTCAATTGAAGCTTTGTCTTAACTGATGCGTTACGAATAAACGCAGCATCGTTGTACACCCATAGCACTTGGACATACAACAAAGGATGCTAATCTCAAGGATATTGATCTTGTGTACTAGTAAAAAATATATAAAACAAGGCTTAAAAAGCATAAGTTAGCTGAAGTTTTTTATATAATCATGATACTAAACCAATAAGTGTCAAATTCAATGCAGAAAAATTGTCTTCTGCTTCTTCATTCTAATCATCATACCGAATTTTATTGTCTCATTCCTCCTTATTCTCTCTCTTCACGACTTTCTAGAATTTTTGACGGTTTTCTTTCGCATTTCTATTTCACCTTGGTGCCTTCTACTTTGATATGTTGATACTATATGTCGTGATTGGGAGTGTTATGCAGGAATGCCAGGTCAGACGTTGATGGTGACTGATTGTCTGACTAGCTCCTAATGTTAAAGCGGATAGAATTAGAGCTGTAAACTGGACTGGAATAATTTCAATATGATTGAGCTTTTGAGTCGATTTCATATTGTTAACCGCTATTCTGTGTTACGGCAGTGGTGTTTCGGATTACGTTTACTATTATCAGGTGTATATAATTTATTGATCAGCTGAAATGATTTCGAATATTAGTTTCGCTCACTGACATTCAGTTATTCACTAGTCTCTAGACTAGATCTCTAACTGGACAAAGTGAAGATACATACTGGCAACTCCTTCAATAATTCTAATGACATATCATGTATTCACACATGTAGCTGTGAAGACTCTGGATCACAATAACGTGAACTAAATTCACGAAAGCAGTTAGACTAGAAGAATGAGTATCATATTTGTGTTTAGATGGTCATCAAGTTTGAACGATCTTCATCTTCCACTTGACTGCCTTTTTAATTGATATACTGATATGTGCTGCGGCAACTCGAACCGTTACGCAGTAATGCCTGGTCCTATGTTGATTTCAGTGGATGGATGAATATTTGAACAATAATACACAATAAACGGCTATCAAGCTTATGTATGTGGCTGTAAAATGATCGCATAAAATAACCTATTTAATCAAGCTTTTGTTATGTTCCGAGAGGATATAATACGCACACTTGACTGACTGATAGCTAATTTCAAACGCAAGATTCACCTACTCCAATCGTGGACAAAATAGAGAAACCTAGACTGGATGGGAGAGTTTATTTCTCTGAGAAGAATAGTCACTTATATATGACTTTGTCCAGAATTTAACGCATTAACATAGCATGAACAGACGTTAACCAATCAGTGAATTACCTTGAAAATGAGGGAAGGGGGGGATGATGCTGCACCTTCACTTACGTGTCACCATCACCACCATAAGCTTCTTTAAAAAGTCAAGAGTAACATGAGACAGTTGTTTCTATCTGAGTGCTTGAGATGGATGTAAAATTTCTGATGGTGTCTATCTACTGTACGTATTCATCAAATAGCCTAGTGGTCCTCCATAACAAATTAGACATAGAGATGTATACACACTCAAAGTAAATATCAGTATTCATGTCTGTATGGACAAATTGACCTATAGTCATTAAGATTTGAAAGGGACAACTATTCATTTCCAGACCAAACTGAAGATTGATAAAAATACTCAAATTGAAATCAGTATAGAACAGTTAGTTGATTATCGTTCTTACTTTTAGGCACCTACTCTATCACTTGGTATCTTACGTTAACTGACGACGAGTTGGACGTCCGATGGTGACATGGAGGATATCGTGTAAGGAAGAAATGAAAGCTTGTGGGCAGTCGTGGAGCCAGGTTCAAAAGGCTTGAGGAGTAGAGAGTGTGAAATAGCAACATGCAACTGAAGCCCCGTGTTCCACTAGGAACCCAAGGGACAAATAAAATCATAATAGCAGTCGTCACTCGACTCTGTTTTCACTCTTGTTGACTCGTAAATATACCCTGTTTAAGCAGTGAAATATCTCTTCGTTCCATATTTAGCCTTGGTGTTTGAGTTGGTGTGACTGTATTTCAAGTTGGTAGCATAATCTCCAAATAGGTCATCGTAACGTCATCTGTGATTGCTGCTGTGTTTCTGGGTATAATCATTCGGTTTGTTTTCTTTGTCATTGAATTTGACTGGTTAGAACACTCACTAATTTTGTTCGATTTGAGGTCATGGAGCTTTGGTAAGCATGTCAACAACTTGAAATGTTCTGATCCATTACGTTACTACATCGTCTTTTGAATTGGCACTGAACAAAATTCCAATTTGGAGGTTTGTTAGGGTTTGTTTATTTGTTGCAGATTGGTATTCATCATGGACTGACATCAGTTGGAGAAACGTAGGAAACCTGGGAGCACTGGACAGTCTGCGGCTCCCCAGCAGTGCACGCGCATGACCCCACCAGGGATCGGACCAAGGACTTTCCGAATCTAAGGTAGGAAATATGAACCATTTGATTCCGATCCATTAACGTAGTGTTAACGTGCTAGTCGCGGAACCTGAAAGTCTGGGTTCGGTCCCTGACGGCATCATGGGAGCGCATTGCAGTGGGGTCCATACTAGAACGAATCAGCTACCAAGTGCTCCCAGGTTTCCAGTGTTTCTCCAATTGATGTCAGTCCATGATCAATACCCACTCAAACCAATTTTTGTAAGCAAAACTCTGCAATTTTTGTCTAACATTTGACGACTAACTTATACTACTATTTTGTTAAACAGTATATAGTATGGTTACATTTTTATACTTTTAGCCGTTGCCAGTTTTAACTACTCAGCGTCCTCCGGAATATTGGTGCAATATTGCTTATTTTGAACTAGACCAACAGGTTGGTGAATTATTTAAAGTTCCCAGTCAGTATTCACGTGTCACTGTTGACGGGTACACAGACCCTTCTAGTCCAAATCGATTTTGTCTCGGGCAGCTGTCGAATGTCCACCGGTGAGTTTACACTAAACACTTTCCATATCTCCAACGTTTAGATAGTCAGTTGATTTGTTTTCCGTCTTTAATACCAAACGAAGATCCCATTTTATTTGCCAACTCAATACATAGTATGCCACATTTTTTTCACTTAACACCATATGTTTCTTATTCTACCTTGGTTTTGTCTAGTTATAAGTAGATAGATTTAATTTAGGATGAATTGATCTCTGATAATAAACTAATTTTGCACTGGTTGGGGATACTTTCATCTGCGTTTATTTTTGAGCTAAGAATTTTAAAAATCTGCCAATCATGTTCAATTTATATTTATAGTCGTCATATCTCTGCTGCTATTCATTCAATACACTTCTGTTCTACAAATTTAGAATGTGATTTGACTGTGAACAATCTATGCAAGGGTGACTGAGTCAAAATAGAAGGGATTCTGACTGACTGACTGACTGATAAAATCAAGGCAGAATCTCGCACAGGAGTGTATCGGCTCAAGTTACCACACTTCGCATAAGTACACAAAGAACAGGTGGATAGTAAAGGAGTGAGAGAACAAATAGTCTGAATATAAACGTTAGTGTGAATATTTAGATGTCAAAGAGTGAATACATCTACCGTATTGTGACCGATTTTCAGCCATATCTCCAAGAGTCCTCAACTACTGATTCCTTTAATCTTCAGGACCCCAAACAGGCAGTCTACATCTCCGTACATGGCCCAGAACAACAGTCAGGGACTTCATTGACTCGTGCCAGGTCTTGGTCTGCACACCCTGAAACCTCTTCTGACCTCATCAGGATTCGTATAGCATTGCACATCGGGGTAGGAGGTGGCTTGGCATGCGCAGTACATGTCCAACCCATCTCAGTCAACTAAGCTTCACAACTTCGTCCATTGACTTGCTTGTCTTGCCTAGTACCTTTCGCCTGATCTCGACATTGGTCAAACGGTGATTCCACCACACCCGAGCAATGCTACGAAGACATCTTTGATCAAAACCCTGTAAACCTTTCATGTCTTCTACTTTTAACGGCCATGTGTCACAGGTGTTTAACAGGACAAAACGAACTACGGTGCAGTGTATACCCGTTCTTTGATAGATAGTCGGATATCTCGTCAGTTGACACCACAGAGGAAGCAAGTTGGCAAATGTCAAACGAGCCTTCGCTATCTGAGTTGATATTTCTCTATCAACCGACCTGTTCAGGTTAATGCAACTCTCCAACTAGAACATATTCATTCACCGAAGGGTTATTCTTTTCAGCGACTTATTCTCAGGTTGTATAATCCCTAAATATGTATATTCACTGGACAGCATAAAAGGAATATTTCCAGAAGCATGGTAACAAAATTTAGTGATATAATGCCTTAATATCATACACGTAAGCTTTGCGTACATTTATTTACTTGATACCTGATTCTCAGCAAAGGTAGTCCTACTAACAAACTTAACAAATCTTTTACAAACGAATGAGTAGTATTTTTATCTTAGAAAAGTAGATTTGGGTATAAATTGTACTCTGAAGAAAGTTTCGTTATTTTGACTAAGGGTAGCGTTAAAGGCTATACTACCGATAGAAGTTTCTAGGAACGCAGTTACATATTAAAACTGCTATCTTACTATGCATCATTAAGCACTTGTTGATCGGGTAATTAGGCACTGGCATCACTTACACGGTCTCAATTAATAGTGGAAATGGTATCCAGTAATTAGAAGGCATTTAATCTAGCTACAGATATACCTATTTTTTTAATCGCGTTTTACTAATGTTATTATAATATTGCAAACTCCGTCACCATAAACGGCACCAACACTATATAGATTCCGTTAACGGTATCTTTCCCATGTTGAATCATTTATTGTAGACTGAAACATCTAACAAGATTTGATAAAAGAAGTGCATCAACTCAGGTTTTCATGTCTTATACAATGGATAGTTAGCAATAGATCGTTTCAATTTTGAAACTGAAATTATTATTATCATTATGTGTCCCTTGGGTTCCTAATGGAACATAGGGATTCAGTAGCACGTCTCCATTGCTCTCTGTTCTCTGAAATCTTTTGAACCTGGCTCCACGACAGCCCACAAGCTCTCATTTCCTCCTCGCACCATCTCCTCCATGTCACCCTTGACTTAGACGCCCAACTCTTTGCTTCCCATCGAGGTTCCACTTGAGCAACTGGCCTGACGCGTGATGTCCCCAGTCGGCCTTCTCAGTGTATGCCCAATCCATCTCCACTTCCTTCCGCATATTCCTTGGGTGATGGGTTCTAAGCTGGTTCGTTTCCGGCCACAATGAGTTCCTTGTTGCTTATTCTTATAATTCTACCCATCTAGTCTTCAGTAACAACCCAGCGTAGGCAGTTGTTGATGAATGTGTGTAGTTTGTTGGAAATGCTTTTCGTAACGCGCCAAGTCTCTCAACCATCACATAGAAACACTGACTCACTTGACTGAATTGGTGTTGAAAATACGGATGTTCTTCACGCTTTATGCTGAATGGAGTGCAGTAGATCTCCACACTGGTTTCAGGCTAATGAACGCCTGTCTTGCTTTTCCAACCCTGACTTTGACATCCTCGTCTGTGCCTGTGCCACCTGTAGTTGAAACGATGCTGCCCAGCCAGGTGGGTGTAGGTTAAGGAGGTTACTTCCTTTGGGTTTCTCCCGTTGGTGGTGATTGAAGCCTGTTGTTGTTGTTGTTGGTTGGATGTCTTCATCACCTCTGTCTTCTCTATATTCACTTGAAGTCCCGTCTTCGCTGCTCTACCCTGCCCTGCCCTGCCTCTTCTGTCAACTTGTTAGTTTTCGCCTGTGGATCTTCCAGTTTGTGTTATAAGACATTAGACACAAGTCATCACTGGCGAAATCCAAATGGTGTAGGTTTTTTTCCGTGGTCCAGCGTATCCCTCTCTTCTCGCTCTTCACTGTTTGCTGCATGATCCAGTCCAGTTGACCACAATCAGGAATATCATGGGTGATAGTAGGCAACCTCGTCTTGCCTGCCAACCTGTCTTCACTTCAAAGACATCACTGAGCTTTTCATTGTGAATTACTTGGCATATGGCGTCTCCATATAGTTGTTGAATGAGGTTGATAAATGTTTGTGGTATTGCGTAGTGTTGAAGTAGCTGCCTGCCAAATTACTTGTCGATGGACGCTGTCAAAGGCCTTCTCAAAGTCGATTAAGTTGAGGTGAGGTAGAGAGTTGACTGCCATTCTATAATCTGTTCTATGATGATGCGAAGCATAGCGCTGCAATTTGATTCGCACATCATCATCATTATCAACATAGGACCAGGCATTACTGCGTAACGGTCCGAGTTGCCACACCTCATATCAGCACATCAAGTAAAAAGGTAGTGAGGTGAAGGATGAAGATAAGTGAATGCAGTCAAAAGAAATATAAAGTATGAGAAGAAAGGAAAGAGGAGTGACAAAATAGTGAGATTCGGTATAGCGTTGTTAAGATGAGGATAATGTGTGTATACATTTGCGCCACTGACTTCGGTTCTCAGCCATATCACCTAGGGTCTCCAACCACTGGTTCCTCTTGTCCCGTGGACCCCAACCACCTAGTCTGCATCGTCCTACATGATTCGCACATGATTTGTACTTCCTGAATCCAGCCTGTTCCGATCGTAGTTTTGAATCCAGCGCATCCCTAAGCCTCTCCAGGATGATGTGGCATAATATTTTGTTTGGGGTGGATAGGAGCATGATTCCACGCCAGTTCTTTCAACGGCTTAGGTCTCCCTTCTTTGGTAGTTTGACAAGGTGGCCGTTCTTCCACTCGGCAGGTACCTTCTCTTCCTTCCAGATCTTCTGCAATAGCGGTGTAAGCATGTCCACTGTTGTCTCTGTGTCTGTTTCCAGTGCTTGTGGCGGGATTATATCTGGTGCTGCTGCTTTCCCGCATTTCAGTAGGTTTATGGCGTTCAGGACTTCGATTTTAGTTGGAGGATTTATGTTCACTTGTAGTTGTGTGGCTGTAGTTGGTATTTCTTGACGAAGTGCAGGTGGCGGTGGTGGTCGATTCAAGAGCTTCTTGAAGTGGTCGGCCCATTGTTTCCTTTGTTTCTCTTCTTTGATTATTAAATTTCCTTCATCATCTTTTATTGGTTTCATGTGGGTTGATCTGTTCGCTCCCAGAAAGCAGTAACCTGGTTATTTGATACAATGTAGTTAGGTGTCTCTTACCTGGAGCTTGTTCTGCTTCACTTGCCAGTGTGTGGTAGAAGTGTCTTTTGTCTTTGCGTGCACTCTTCTTCAGTTCTTTGTCCAGTGTTTTATACATTGTACTCAGTACCTCATGTCGTTGAGCATCCTTGCACTGGTTTATCTTCTGCTTCACCATCTTCCTCTCTTTGCTCTATCAGCTTCCATGTGTCCGTCGAGATCCATTCCTTATCTATTTTCCTCTTCCTTCCTAATTCGGTTATGCAGGTTTCTTTCCACACCTCTTTCAAAGACTTCCAGTGTATCCGTTCTCTTGGTATCCTTATCAGATCCTGATGCTTATTGACTGTGTAAAATGATTCTTGACCTTAGAGTAACTGCAGTCAGCTTAAATACTGTAACACGAAACCGTTGAGCCTCCCACCTCGTAGTTTACAATCGGCTCTGGCATAGGCGCATAGACAACCAAGTTGGTGACCTCAATCACCTCGGATACTAGTGTCGAATTGTCACCCTGTTAGTCCCATTGACCAGCTGGCCTGCGCGCTGTCGACGGACGAAGTCATCACAGGGTGATGACGTCTATCTCTGACAATGGTGGCGTCAGCACAAGCGCAGCCACTATGCACTCTACCCTGACTTCTACCAGTCTAGTTAGCACTGGACTATCGACAACCAAGCCATCGCCAACAGCATCGTTTCACACCGGCAACACCAACAGTGCAACTGTTGCGGACACCATGGCTCAGAGGGCTGACGTTGACCATGACCACCACTAGCGAAAGAAGCGCCTCCACCACGATGACACCACCCTTACAAAAGCATCCAGTGTATACTAGTCTTCAGTAATCTTATGTATTGATACAATGTAACAGCCTGACCACCGTTGTTGTTTACAGTTTCATGAACTGTTGTTCAGTTACTCAGATACGTCATGTCCTTTATCTTTTCGTATGTCTTGTTTGTTGTACGATTATTCGATATCATTGGATGTTGATGTCTGCATGTTCGCCTTGAATATGCTCACTGTGTGCACTATCGAGAATTAGCGGCTTACACATAATCATTTTGTATAGTGATACAATCTCAAATGAAGTTTTGGCTGCAAATTAAAAGTCAGGTATTAATTGAAATGAGGTCATATGTAGGTTGTCAGAAGTATTTTAAACTGGTAGTACCGATTGCTATTCCATATGCCTTTGTGATGAAATAGGTCTTTGGTGTTTATCATGAATGTTCCATGTTGAGTACTAATGTTCAGAAAGTTGAATTCAGCATTGTTTTCATGTTTCATTGCAAAGTTTTTATGTATACTACTAAAGATTGCAAGAGGATGTGTTATACATCGTGTAAATTTCTTATACATGAACCTATCGTCGACGTATCTTTAATAGGATACTGTTGTTAGAGTCTTTTCAGCTGAGGATTATCTATGAAGAGATACCTGCCAATATATTAGACTTTATGGACTGACTATACACCACCAATTTAGAGATTCAAGATATTATCATACTGAAAACTGACATCTTTCAGTTGTTGGTTGATGAAGGAAATCAGTGTGCTGACAGATAATATCTAAAGTTTCAAGAAGAGGCACTTGCGTAAATAAGGAAATCATATCAAAGGAAACTATTGACTCATCATTTAATCTGCCGTCTAAACAAGTTAGAACAAGTCTTTCATTGTGTATATTTCGCCTATCATTAACGAACAGGTTGCAACTTTCCTTCCAACCACTGAGCAACTTTATGGTAAGGTGAACGATAGGACATTGATAATGTAGGTCTTAATGGAGTATTCTGTTTATATATATATCTTGGATAGACCATACATAAAAGGCAGACGAGATCCTCCGGGCTTGAAATCCATGTATGCATGATTTACCTTTCATACCTAGCACTGTATGGCTTACACGTCAATGCTCCTCTTTCAGTTATTCGCTACACAGAGAAGTGAAGCTTCAAAAGTGTCGATAATCAAAAGCATAACTCTAAGATGTTCAAACCCAACCGCATACTAGAATAATGTTTACTTTTGCATCATAGGTTAGCCAACCTTCTAAGATTTTGTTGGTCAACGGCAGGAGTGGTATTATGACAAACGAATGAGACGCACTCACTTTTTTCACATCTGTACAGTAGGCAGTGAACTATACCTATTGCATGTGGACTAGCTATACTACCTGGCTGCCCAGACCTAGGTGGGCGGGGTGGAGTTCGAACCCGCGACTCTGTGGTTGATAGTCATCTCCCTAAAGCACTGAGCCACAGCTCGACTGTGACAAACTTGCTTACTTAATTGCATAGTGTCATTTATTGACTGGACATCGGTGCGCATCAGTCATGGGGCAACATTCTGGATGCATCGGAATCACTTTTCAGCTTTTGTCTGAAAGTGTTTAGAAATAATGCTCATTTATTTTAGGGATTTTTCTGTTGCATTTTGCTAACGGATAATTATACTGATGCACCCTAAAATATCCGCATTGCTAAAACCCATTCTTCAAAGAAATATTGGTTAATTAGATGTTCAAGTAGCTAATAGAATTGGGAATTCATCATAATTTTCACTAGGTTTGAAGGAAAGGCTGCAGGTATTTTGTCATTGAGGACTTCATAACATCGTGCGTGTTCAGTACAGTTACCACTACTCAGAGGTTATATGTACAGTATTAGGTTTGATGATTAAAAAAGTGAAGTAATTGTAAATTGAAGTGGCTCAAAAGTATGTTGATCATGGAAACGCACTGTTTATTCCGGCAGACGAAGAGAATCCCACTCAGTAACCTTGTGCACATACTTATAGTAGGCAATGAGCCACACCTACTGCTGTGTGAGGACTATTGATACTACCTGATCGTCTTAACCCCGTTACTTGGAGCTAAGTTCTAACCCATAGAACTCAAATACCTAGACCAATGAGTAGGGGACAGTGCCACTTAGTTGATAGAATACTAACTTGTAATCCGACCAAGATATATCACGAATCCATAAATATTTGTTGATTAGTTATTCTGAATTCTGTGGACATTTTAAGTGTTCATTTTTGGGATACAAAAGGCTCGATCGGCTTTCGCTAACTTACGCCACCTATGGCGCCGCCGTGATATCCGTTTGTCTATTAAGGGTCACGTGTACTGCACAGCAGTCCGGTTTGTTCTGCTGTATGGCTGTGAAACATGGCCATTGAAAGTGGAAGATATAAAAAGGCTTCAGATGTTTGACCACCGTTGCCTTCGTAGTATAGGACGTATTCCGTGGTGTCACCATGTGAGTAACGCAGACGTCAGTTATAGAGTTGTAGGGAGAAGAGGTAAGTTGGTTGACAAGGTTATGAACCTTCATCGACTGAGATGGTTGAGACACGTATTACGTATGCCTAGTCACCGATCGCCTCGTCCTACAATGTTGGCTGAAGTAGGTGGAGGCTGGAAAGAGGCCAGAGGTGGCCACACTAAAACATAGCACTAATGCATGAAGTCTGTGACTGTTGGTTTGAGCCATGTAGGGTGATGCAGACTAAGTGGTTGGGGTCGGTGGGTTAAGAGGAACCAGTGGTTTGAGACTGACTCTAGGTGATATGACTCAGAACCGATGTCAGTGGCGCAGATGTATACAAACATTATTCTCATCTTAACGACGCTATACTGAATCTCACCACTTTCTCATTCTTCGTTTCTTTCTTCTCGTACTTAATATTGCTTTTGACTGCATTCTCTTATCTTTATCTTGCGCCTCACTGCCCTTTTTACTTGATGTACTGATATGAAGTGTGTCAAGTGGGACCATTACGCAGTAATGCCTAGTCATTAATTAATTTGGATGGATGTTTGAAGTCTTAATGACAACTGAAGTATCTAGTTTAAGGTCAGATTATGTAACTACAACAGCGAAAATACATTTATGTCTTCCTTTCATTTAGATCTTTTATATATCTCTATTCCCATTATTTCTTATCTTGTGTATTGTCTAGGGTCTTTTCGAAGTTGCTGATATTTTTATCATCTCGTTTATTATTGTTTGTGTTTTCACGTTTACCAGGTTTCATAGTTTTCCCCATCTGATGTTGTCTTTCATTAAGTGAAAAAAAGGCTAAATAAGGATCGACTTATAATCACCTATTTTGCCATTGTTATTGTGAACGTTTTTTCGTGTCATCTCATGATGATGATATTTTACATAACATACGGAATTACTTTGTCATCTTCTTGTATACGTGGACCGCTACACAGTAATGTTGGGTCTCATATTGATGCTGACAGATAGGCTGACTGACTGACTTAGTATGATTAATTCGATAAAGCAGTTTTCATGGCATAGGAAATACGGAGCAATGTTTTCTTTCATTCATTTTACTGAAGTGAAACCTTTAACTCTCAGGATATACAGGGGGGTGGGGCGCTGATGGCGGGGGACGTTTCTTTTTCGTCAGAATTGTAGAATTAAAAGAAGAAGCGTTTTTATCCAGTATATTACTGGACTACTCGTGAGATCTAACACTGTACAAAAACCACTCATTTCTTTTGAGTGTTGATCAGACTACCTAAAACAGCTGTACTCCAACAGCTGATGACTGAAGTCACAACCACATTCGAAGTAATTAAATCTGGGTAAAGTTAACAGTATTGTAGTGGGCGCTGCTGATCGGAATGTATATAAGGAGTATATGTTGAGAGGGCGACAGAAACTATACTCAATTACCAGCAGTGGGTAAAGATTCTGCCCAGAGAAACACAACAGACAAGGTAGACGCATTAATAGCGAGTCGAGACAGAAGTAGAAGAGGAAATGAAGCACATTTTGCAAATGACTGTCTTAGTGGAAAGTGTACAATATTCGATAAGTACTGTACAAGATGTCAATAATAAACACTCCTTCCTTCATCTCAGTCCTATCGTTTCCTACAGTTGGTGCCATTGCTTCTAGACGTGATAAACATTCTGTGGCTGGCAGTGTTGGAGGATAGAGACATCAAGGTCTTTCTGAAGGACTTTGAGTCGGTCGCGGAGCTGGTGGGTGTCCGGGATCTAGGAGCGAAGGTCGTGATGCTTGACACATAGCTGAAGGACAAAGCGAAAGCTTCATATGACGCCGTGGAACATGTGGATGCGAAGGAAATTTGAAAGAGAATGGTTGAACGACTGCAGATGGAGAGGTCGATGGTCGAAACCCGGGCCTTCCCTGTGACAGGCGAATATACTAACCACTATAAAGTCATTTGCATAATGTGCTTCGTTTCCTATTCTCCTTCTATCTCGATTCGCTCTTGTCTTTTGGACTGAAAATTTACCTATTGCTGCTGCCTCTCTCTCAACATATATCCTGTTTGGTTAGTTGCTACCACTTGCATTCTCATCATTATCATCATTAAAGTCTAGAATGAATTAGTCTGCTGGGTGTCTTATCACCAATTTTTATTCATTTTTATTAATTGATATTTGATGGTACTCCATTCACTCAATGGAATTATATATTATATTGTACTACTGTATGTATGTACAGGTCAGAGCAGTCTGAAAAGTCACGACTCTATATCGGTAAAGGTGTAGAACTGGATAATGTTGGAGAAGGTGATGTATGGATTCGGTGTCTTTCTGAATTCTCTGTATTTGTTCAAAGCTACTACTTGGATCGAGAAGCTGGTCGTGCACCTGGAGATGCTGTCCATAAGATATATCCGGGTGCTTATATTAAGGTGAAATATTATATACGCATAATTTCTATGTTATTATATGATTTCATTTATTGTTCCACTTCTTCGATTAGAATTGACTTTAAAACTGTGATTGAATATACTTAATATATCGTTTATCCTATCCTATCCTATCCTATCTGCTATCGAATTGCAGGTGTTTTACTGGAGGTCGACTTCGTACTATAGGTTTATTTTTTGTATAAACCACTTTCAATATGCTTTCATCTACATTATTTTATTATTTTATTATAGGTTTTGATTTGCATCAACTGAATGGTTGGAATCGATTAAATGTTCAAGGATAGAACTTGTGATACATTTGCTTTGACCCTTATAAAACTAGGCCAGAATGTGATCTGGTATACGTGTTGACAGCAGTGTGTGACTACGACCGATGTACATTGCTCCACACGAGCAGGTAATCACTGTGAACACACACCTATCGGCAAGACAAACTAGTCTGCCAAGGTGACCACTGGGTATGGTTTATTTCGTGGAATCGAATAGGCGGAAAATGAGGAGGAGGAGGGGATAGCAGGGAGGGAAAAGTGAGTACTATAATGTTTGAAAAGGGAAAAAACTTACTACTTTGATCATGGTGTATCTAATGAGTGTACGTAATGTTTTTGAATGTTAGGATCAGTCAGGCGTAAGGTTGTTAATGATCCTGCTGTGTAGATGACACAGTTCCAGGCTATTGGAAATGTGAGAAGGCACTGGCAAACTTGCTTTGAGTAAAATATTAGGAGGGAGGGATCAGATGTTCAGCGGTGACAGGGTGATCAACAATGAAACTGTTTATACACTTTTTTATTTCCCTTTGGATAACCAGAGTAGACAATGTTGTCAAATAAGCTGACGGACAATCAAATGAATAAGCTGAAGACTGGAAGTTTTTCTTCGAATTCACTTCAGTCAATGAATTATGGATAGAAACATGAAGTGTTTCCACGTATGTATGATACCATGTGGATAGAATAGTGATTATACCTCTTTCTTATCCATTGTTCAAATACTTCATTAAAGTATAACGCTGCATTGTTCTCAGATAAAATTTAACAATATCAGGTCAAATAAAGACTTCACAGATGAGGAAATATTTGAAAGCCATTTGACACATAATCTTATTTATCAGCAGTAGTCCATAGCAAAACCACATGTTCATCAACTGAGATTGTCGTTCAATGTACACTATAATAAAATATAGCTGCTTAATATGTATATATATATGGTTAATCTTACTCGAACTACATTATAGATGAACGGACAACACTACATTTTTACTAGTAAGTGATGATTATAGCACATTATCTGATTGAGGCAATGAGCTGTAATGAGTGAACGAAATTGTACCCTGAACTACTCTACTACAGGTTTACTGACAAAGGTGTGTATGCAACGGAAAATAATTAGGGATTAAGGATCCTTTTTCATGACAGGAGAATACCAAAGTTGATTTCTAAAAACACATTTATACAGTCCAAAACTGGTCTAACTAACATTTCACTTTGTGCTCACTCAACATTATAAAGAAACAATCAAACGTGTAATGCATGCCCAACAATAAAGTAGATAACTGACAGGGATCTAATGCTAGCTAAAAGGATGATAATTAGGTCTGACCTATGTGAGTGACCAATATGTGATTTGATTTATAAACCTGAATAAATTTCACAGCTTTTCTCAACAGGTCGTTCGTTACCTTAGTTAGCATCGGTTATAAACCTAACCGATGTAAAACTTCACATCCAGGGAAATGTTCTATATCTACTGTTTAAAGTCTAGCACATCTCTTTGAAACGGTAGACACTAGCCTGATTTTTACTCGTCCAACCAACAAAAAGGTGAAGTGAATGCAGTATTATTCATTTCTTCTTTCCAATGAGTTTGACTATAGTCGACAGTCCTTTTGAATGGAATTAACAAAATTGAATGAAGAAGTAACACGACTTCTGGTTGTCAGTCGTTAGATCACGTTGCCGTACAACCATGCATGCTGTAGTTGAAATTCTAATCTGTGAAGCTTTCAAGATTTAGATGAATATTTTAGGGGAATAAGCGTAATGGATGACTTCACTATGTATTTTGCTATTCAAGCATCCGATAGAAAGAATGTGTATGTGCAATCAACGAATTCTAGGCTTAGACAAAACTAAGTCCTTACCTTTATATACTACTTCATAAGGCGTAGAAGCAGATAATATTTTAGAGGGAACTGATGACAAACCCATATGCTTAGGGTTTTCACATGCTGTCAAGAAGCAAGGTGATTCCATTTGAAGCAAGTTCCCTGGATTTATATGTTTGTTGATTAACGCAGTGTTTCAACTAGGGGCGGCGGCGGCTGCACAAACGAAGACGTCAAATCCGGCCATGGTCGGAAGAGCAAGACAGGCGTTGACTAACCTGGAACCAGTGTGGAGATCTTCTGCACTGCACTCAGCAAGTAGTGTGAACAACATCCGGATTTTCAACAACAACCCAGTCAAGTCAGTGCTTCTGTATGCCTCACAGACTTGATGCGTTACGAAAGGCATTCCCAACAAACTACAGACATTCATCAACCACCACCCACGCTGGCTCCTTACTGAAGATCAGATGGATTGCCAGAATAAAAATGAGAATAAGCAAGAAAGAATTGTGGCTGGCTGGCTGGCTGGCTGGCTGGCTGGCTGGCTGGCTGGCTGGCTGGCTGGCTGGCTGGCTGGCTGGCTGTTAACGAACCAACGTAGCAAGAACCTATCTTCCAACAAAAATGTACTGTAAGGAAGTGGAGATGGATTGGATTGGGCATGCACTGAGAAGGCCGACTGGGGACATCACACGCTAGGTCCACGAGTTGAACCTAGGTTGAAAAGGACGAGTTGAGCATCCCAGCTGAAGTTGACATGGGAGAGATAGAGTGAAGAAGGAATGAGAGGTTGTGGACAGTCGTGGTGCCAGGCTCAAAAGATTGCAGAGAACAGAGAGCAATGGAAGCGTGCTGCTGAAGCCCTATGTCACACTAGCAACACAAGGAACAAATAATAATAATAATAATGATTGAAAATCTGATAACTATATCATTGTGTTGAATACAAAGAGTGTAATTAGTGAGTATGAAAGTCCTACAACTTTGTATCAGGCAGAGTATGACAAATCCAGTTTTGCAAACATCTAGCCTGGCTAATAAATTATTTCTGTTATAATTGATCTAGCTTTCAGTCTTGTATATACTTCTCCCTATGTGTCTTAAGCTCTTTCACTTTGGGTGAAATATATTAATCTAGTATGAAATTGCACCAATATAACCATCGTATTGAGACAGTCATTGAATTACACTGTATTACACGACAAAGTGTAGCTTGCAAATTGTAAAACTCCACATTGAGTAGACGATCAATCCCCACAACCTGGTCACTACTCTATTTCGCATCATATACAATAATTAGGCTCGTTCACAAGATAAATACTGATGTAACCTGGATCTAATTAGTGCTTTAATTAGAACTTCACCTTGTCATTAAGAACAGTCAAATGAAGATCATCTGGACTGGGTGCTTTAGGTGGTTCTCTTGTGTGAAGTTGATTCTGCACTAACTGACAACAGAAAGAAGAAGTCAACAGGAGAATTTTTAATCAAAATGTACTGATATGTTAGTTCTCGGATGCCATTGTTATTCAAAGATTTTTAATCAGTGGTAGTAGTAGTAGTAGTAATAGTAGTAGTACGTGTGTTATCAATAATTATTCCACTACTAATGGTAATAATGGTGATGACAGGGCTAAGAGGGAATTCAAAGCCAGCCTCTGCTGTGTTATGATAGAAAAAAGGCACCTCACAAGCATTACGAAGAATTCTCAATAAGGCCAGATTTAAAGTGGCATTGAAAATAACAAACTCGTTTACAAATAAGCTTTGTAGGCTTAAACATCCTATCGATGCAATTAAGCAAAAATAATCTGGTTTACCAAATCCTTTGCAATGATTGCGAGGTCAAGTATATAGGTCAAGGCAGTTGACTAGTTAGGGTCCATTAGAATAACACAGCACACAAAAACGTACCTAAATCAAGATAAGTAGATCCTAATAAGATAATAAATGTGGAGAAAAGCTCGGCTATAGCTCTGCACACAGTTGCACACAATCACACAGTAGGGTGGGATAGAGCGACAACGTTGAAAACTAATTTACTTGGGTGGAGGAAGAGATTGATAAGGAGAACTTCGTCTATTGAATCAACACCAAGTACACGCAATCGAAATGATTGTGCACCTGTCTCAGATATATGGAATACTATACTACCCTTGTCATCATAGAGGAGAAGGAGAGAGAATTAGGAATATATAAAGTCTTTCTCGAAATTGTCGAGTTACCTGCTGATATGAATATGAACAACAAATTGTGTCCAAAAGGTTATCCAGTAAATGTTACTGTCCAACTGTGTGATATTTCTAATAAACAGACTAAAGTGGAGCAACATATAAATTCAATTTACTTACCATGGTGAAATTCATGAGTCTATCTATGTATGATCGGTTTTAAGAATTCCTGAATGATTTGTTTTTGCCTATACTTTGTGAAACGTTTGGAGTCATGTTGACTGGAGGTTTGTAGAGATTTATTAATTGATTTTGGTTTTGACATCATAATGGACTGAAATCAGTTGGTGAAAGTTTGGGAAGTTGGCCACCCTGGATAGCTGTATGAGACCCATAGTATGAGACCCGTGAACAGTGCGCACCCACAACCCCACCAGGGATGGAACCCGGGATCTTCAGTCTCCTTGGTCAGCATGTTATCCTTGGGCCAGTGGGTCGGAATCCAATGGTCTATATATCCTATTTTTGTGGCTAGTGGAGTGAAAAATGAGTACAGTTACTCATCGATGATATTGCGTGATGGTCGCGGTATATCGTGAATTGACAGAAGTAGGAAATACGGACCAATGGATTCCGACCTAACGGCTTAATGGTAGCGTGCTGGCCACAAAACGTGAAGGTCAAATGTTTGATTCCTGCTGGGGTGGGTCATGAGTGCTCACTGCTGACGATTCGCATACGAAGATGAAATAGTTATCCAGTGCTCCTGGTTTTCCAATGTCCCTGCAATTAATGTCAGTCCA